CCTTTGTAGTAGTTATTCATAATACAACTTGCAGACATGATATCTTATCCAAACACTATTAGTTCAAAACTTTCTTCTCATTGAACTAAGAGAAAGTAGCTGTACATCTATCCTATTTTGTATATACAGATATACATTTTTTTTTTACTACAAAATGGTCTTTCATTTATATCTCCCTTTTTTGTTTACTTTTGTCAGATATTGGTATTCCATGCCATTCAAATATTGTAGGTGCATGAATTTAGCAAAGTAATCCAATACAGTCCAGTAGTCCATAATAGTAGTGGGTTATCTGCAGGGCTGGCAATGTCAGAAGTTGTTGACTTGAGACTTTTACAGCTCAGCGTACTAATATGGCTTTAGTTTTTATACCTTGTGTTTATACTTTTCTGCTGGATGGTTAAGACCAAGATAAAGCAAGACCTATATAACAATCAAATACCCTTAGGATTTACCCTGAAACCCTGTACCACAGTTTTGTAGATCCTTTGTCAGTGTCAGTCATGTGGATGAGTCACAGCCATTGCTTGACCAGTTTGAAAAGCAGAATAGTTTTCAACATTGAAGTCTTAAGTTTGATATATGATCATTTGGTTGTTGACCTCAATCTGTTTCTTTTATCTGGCATGGAAGGTTAAATATGACATAGTTTCTTAAATATGAGAAGCCCATAATAGTTTAATGAGCAAAATAAGAGACAGTGGTGGACTGTGTGGAGACGAGAAGGGACACTGAGAAGGAGGTGTACAGGAGGGTGAAGATAAGATGGTCAGTACTGACTACTTCCCCAGATGAGTGTAATTATGTACCACAGGCATACACAGAAAATAGCAAGAGAGCTAAGGAAGAAGCAGGACGTGACACTTCAAAAAGGCCAGAATAATGTAGGCTTACTGAGAATACACTGACAGGATGACTTGAAAGGAGGCTTTTGGAAATAAAATGAGATATTGTTTGTAATTCATAAGCAAAGGCAAACAGTAAATCCTTTGGAATGGGGAGTTTTAGAGTCAAGGTAAGGCAAGGAGCTGGTTTCTTTTTGTGTGTGTGTGTGTTGCTGGGGATTTAAGCTAGGGCCTCATGTATCTATGCCAGTCAGGCCCTTGACCACCAGCTGCTTCTAACCCAGCTGGTTCTGCTTTACTTGTAGGATTTCTTACTCTGGTAGAGAAACGTGAGAATGCTTGCAGTTTTCAGTATTCATACATTCAACTATCAACATATTTCTCCGGGAAAGTTATCACATAGAATTGTGAACTGATGGAAAATCAAGATTTACTAGATACCTTGAGCACAGCAAAGGCTGACCGAGCTCGAAATGGGTGCTTTCAAAGCACTGAAGGAATTCTTGTGATCCAGATGGTGGTAGGGAAGTGAAATGCCAGGTTTAAGAAAACAATGCAAAGCCCTATACTAACAAAAATTACAATTGCTGACTTTGGGAAACTTTCCCCATCCTTTTTATGGACACATAGTTCTATGATGGCAATAACTGGGAAAATTAACATTACACCATATTTGTTTAGCTTTTGTTTTTATATCCTGTTTCTGTTATATGTAGGATACTGAAATCATAAATTCATGAATTCATTATTTGTTTTTATTTATGTTCCAGGCTTTGAATAAGAGCAGCATATGTTTAATTTTTTTTTTTTTTTTTTTTTTTTTTTTTAGTTTTGATATTTATTGTTTTAACGCTTAACTCTCAAAAGACTAGATAGGAAGTACAGTTTAATTCTTTTCTTTGGTTAATATTTGTAGTCTTCTTCATTGATTGTTATTAAATAATTTATCTTCAACCTTGTACAAGTCACTTAGTCTAATGCTTTGAGTGGGTGCTGGAGAGATAGCTCAGCAGTCTAAGCCCCACCTTGCAAGTGCAGGAGCCTTGGTTTGAACCCTGGTACTGCATGCTGTGCAGGCCCTTTGAAATCCATGTCTGTGAAATGGTAACACCGGGATGAGGTAGATGGCTGCTGTGTGCCAGGTTTCAGTCCTCACAATGTGTATCTTATTTTCTCTTTGTTCCCCTATTTTTCACATCCTTTGCTCATCTTGTATATTTGTTTTTGTGTGAAATATGCTCCAACTACAAAATATATGTAGAAATGGAGGGGGAGAGATGCTGGATTCTAAAGTATAAGATGCCTATGCGCTTCATAGCCAAAATCAAGCTGTGGATGCAAAAGGGGAAAGTCTAGCAAGCAGGGCGCAGGCCTTGACTCTGAGTGTGCGGACTCGCCACAGGGCATGCATTCCTACAGACAGCGCAGGCTGGTCCTAGTTCAGTGATCGTTATAACACATCAAGTTTTTGCTATATAATATCCAAAAACCAATTTTCAGAAAACTTTACAATCACTGAGCTGGGGATATAGCTCAGCAGCACGGTGTCTTCCCGGCAAGCATAAGGTTATCAGTTCAATTCCATCAATGACAGCTTCTATCTCACAGATGTAAAGTACAAGCAGATGTATCAGATTACACAAGCCTTCTCTAGATCTGAAGTAGCTGTCACACATTATTGTAATTATAACAACAGGGCTGGGGAGATAGCTCAGCAGCTTACGCGCCTGCCTGGGAAGCACAAGGTCCTCAGTTTGATCCCAACTGTTATACTCTTCCTCTCTTCCTGTGGATTTTCATTTCTATATGTTCATGTACGAAAAGGGGTCTGAAATTTCTGAAGTAGTTGCAATTGTAATAAAGAAACAAGTCCATCTGACAATAGAAGTAATCAGATCACAAATAATCTCTCAGGTTAAAAAAGGTAGGATAACAGTGATGAAAAATTGTTCAGCACATAGTTACTAGTGGTTTCAGCCCATGTTTAGCTGGATCCAAGGCAGAGCAGCACATAGCGGAAAGCAACCTTTCATGGTGGCAGCAAAGAGCAAGAGCACCAAGAGCAGCATTTTTAAAATGAAAGTAAAACATACCTTCTTTGGAATTATATAAAATGATGAATTAGGTTATCTTAGGGGCACTCTCAAGTACCAAGACACCATACTTTTTGGGTCTTGGAATGTGTGGCCTCTCAAAACCCTGTTAATAACTCCTTCATTTGTCTGTTAATCATCTGCTCTAGGTCAAGGCTGCAAAAGAGTCTTTCTAAAATTCTGTGCAAAACCATACTTTGAGAAATGTTGGTTTAAATAACGTTCTAGAGTTGTTGTTCAACCTACCTGCATGGACCTAGCTGCGTGAGTAGTGCCCAGGAGCTTGCTGAGAATACGGGCAGTCGGGCCCTGCTCTAGACCTGTGAATAGCATGTGGTCCTAACAAGATGCTCAGGTGATGCCAGTGGACAGTGAAGTTTGTGAAATGCTTCTATGCAAAGCTCCATCAAGTGTGACTTAGAAACAAGTGTCTTTAGTGATGAGTGACCCACTATCCAACAGTAATCCAGTGATTTTCTTTAGGCAGCATAAATATTACCATAGCAAGTTCTTGTTAGTACTCAGGTCAAAACTGTGTCCTTGAAATTTGCATTCCCTGGCCTTGACTTACCCACTGGAGAGCCTTCAGGACCAACCTAATTCCTCTTCTTTATAAAGGTCCTTAAACCAGAGGCAAGAAAGGCCATCTTGTGCCATTTAAGCTTCTCTAGGTATATATATATATATATATATATATATATATATATATATATATATATATATATATATATATATATATATATATACTTCCTTCCTTCCTTCCTTTCTGGTCTTTTTGAGACAGTCTTACTATGCTGTTCAGGCTGGCCTTGAGTTCACTTTGTAGCCCAGGCTGGTCTCAAACTCTTTTTGATCCTCCTGCCTCAGCATCCTGAGTGCTGGGATTGCAGGCATGCACCACTACACCCTGTTTATATTCACTTCAATAAAAATAGCCCCTATAATACAGAATATAGCAACTGATTTTGTTTTTTCTCTAATGCCTTTCAATATCACACATCTAACACAGAGAAATATTCAATTTAATATTTTCTTTTGTTTTTCTCAGTGGAATCAATTTTTGCATGGTACTATATGATCTTCATGGTAACCAAACATAATCGTTTTCTTGTTTTGGATATTAGAGTTCATAAATGCCTTCTGAAATAAAATATTTGCCATCTTTTTATATGTAAAAAAATATTTGTGGCCTAATATTGTTTATGTATTGGCACTGGGAATTTGAACTCAGGACCTTACACTTGCCAGGCAGGCGCTATGTCACTGAGCTGAATCCCCAGCCAGAATGTCATCTACTGTCAGAAGAGAGAGCATGTGGCTTTTGCTGGTTACATTTTCTGTCAGAGTGAGTCTTTTGTGAGAAAAGTTATAGTAGGAACAGACTGAGAATATTTTTTAACTTCCCCTCCCCCCAGGAAGTGGCCTATAGTACATTCAAACACTTGTTATTCTTCTTACTAGTTTATCTACATTTTTTTTCTGTTCAATTTCTACTAGATAGTTTTATTCTTCTCAACCTCCTTTCCATGCTCCTCTGTCTGTCCCTTTTCGCTTTCTCTTAGATTTCTGAGAGCAGTAGGTCCTTCTCTCACCTCTGCATTTAACAACAAAGCTGTGTGTGGTATGTGGAGAGAAGCAAAAAAATAAGACAAATGGTTCTTTCATTACAAGGTGGTTTTGAATTAATTGAGCTGGATATGTTATTTTTTTCAAGGTGACTGAACTGGATCCTTTGGCAAGCCAGTCATGTGTGACCGTAATGTAATATGTGCTATAGGTTTGACTATTGAGTTTTTGTTTTGTTTTGGTTTTGGTAATTTCATTATCCTGTTATGGGATCATAAGTGAGTGTATTAAAATATTTTTTCGTTAATATTTTTGATGTCTTTAAATTATTTTTGAAGGGCTGGGGAGATGGCTCAGTGGAATAAGTGCTTCCCTGGCAAGCACAAGGACCTGAGTTCAATCCCTGGTTCTGCCCCCCCCCCAAAAAAAAACCCTAAATTATTTTTGAGTGGCTTGACCATTCTTATAAATATACTATCTCTGTGTTTTGTTTCAGCGTTTGCAAGTGAAGGACCAGCACAGCCCTGGTCCTGGACTGTCTGGCAGAGGACCGCGCAGTTCAGCAGTCGTCCTGCCAGGCCTTCAAGGCTGGTCTCTCCTGTCCACATTCTTCACTGTCAGGAACAGAGGGACTTGGGAAATCAATTCCTACAAGTGCAGGTAAACAAAGGCAGCTCTGTTGCCTCAGAGTTTTACATGTATGCTTGAGATGTACTTAGCTTTTTTGTCCCTTGCAGCTCATCACTATGTGCAGCAGCCTGGTGTGCTTTTCCCTAATTGGTTTTATGGGTAGTCCGAAGGCCTGTGAAACTGTTAGTATAACACTACTCAGTTCTTCTTAAGCATATCCCAAAGTCAAGCTATAGAAGTTTTTAATATTATTTTTATTCTTAATCAGAATCAGCTTTCTTTTGAACTGTTCTAGGTCAATACAGAAGCAAAGAGTAATAATGCTCTGCAATTAAAACTAGGACATGACAGATACTGTAAAAATTCTGTATAACAAGCTGTATAACTAACTCTGGGCAAAAGCATTGCTCTCTCTGGGCCTTGTTTTCTCAAGAGAAATAATTCCAGTTCTCACTGTCTTTAAGTGCAACGAGAATATTTGTGATGGTTTCAAAGCCTTTCCTAACACAGTCCTTGGCCACTGGCTTTTCAGAACTCTTGACCACAGAGAGTTGAGCTGCAGACAGGGCTAGATCCTCAGATGTCCTGCTGCCAACAGCCTGTTAATTTAATGGAAACTGAGCTACAGTAATTTTGATGTGTGGGGCTACTTTTCTTGTCTGTCGTTTCATTTTCTGGCATGGAGAAGAGAGTGAATTTCTGTCGTGGCAGCTCTGGGAGGCGTAAGGATGAGGAGCGTGGGTTCTGGTGTGTGTGTGCGGGGTTAGGAACCAGCTCTGCTGCTTACTGTGTGCGGGCATTAACTTCTCGGTGCTTTAATATCTTTGTATAAGGATGCCAGTAGCACCTTTTTAAAGGTAGTTTTAAGGATTAAAAGAACTTTACATCTAAAACATTTGGAATATTTTGTCTCATAAGTGTTCAATAACATTTTATTGTCAGGTTGTTATGGTCTGTGTGCAGTTGTCTTCCCTAAAGCCTCCTCCAGTCCTGGGGCAGCTTCTGGAGTGTTTGATTATTGTGTGAGTGGATGCTGTACCTGCCCTGGGGCAGGTAATTTGCATTACAGTGTGAGGTGGGAAAGAGGCTGGCTAGCTGCCTGAGATGCTGCCCCTCCTTTTTTGCTCTCTTCTCTTTGCTGCTGTGCTCTGTCCTGTGCCAATCTGCCTTGGAGCCAGCTGAGTATGGACTTAAATCTCCAGTAACTGTGAGCTAAATAAACCTTTCCTTCCTTCATTGTGGGTGTTGGATATTTGTCCCTGCAAGGAGAGAAGAGTAACTGAGACACATGTGTTACAGTGTTTATTCTTCTGCCTCCATTCTCTAGCCTGGGGCTGAGAAATACTCTAAACTAGCTCCTCTTCTTATTAAACATTGCTGACTCACACAGGATTTGCTTCTAAGCTTATAGCACAGTAATTGAATCTTTCTCAATATTATAATAAATGTTAAATATAAGATGAATCCTGTTATCCAATTCAGATTGACTTTAATAGGAAATAATTGGTTTTATGTCTTGCTTTAAGACATAAAAATATGACATAAGACATAAAATTGAAATACTGATTATAAATCTGGGATTTATTATTTGTTTGTTTTTTCTGCCTCTTAAAATGTATTTTTATGAAAAAGCACTAAAAGGTGTGGTTTCTATAGCTGGAAATAGTCTTAAGAGTTTTGTCAAAGAATTGCTGCTATTTTGAATGTCTTTCATTTTCTGTTCAGATGATTAAACCTTCTTGTCACAGATACTTTGAAATGTCAAAGTTAATATGTAGAAAAATAGCTACTACAGTAATGGGAACTTAATTTTTGATGCTGTTATACAACGATGCAAGTTTTTAAGAGCTTTATCAGGATGTTTCTAAGCTAATTTTTCAATGAAGACTTGGTGTGGGGGCAGTTAAACCTTCAATAGTCTTAAAAGAAAAATTAAAACTTTTTTTTTTTTTTTGTATTTTAGGGAAGGGTCTACAGGGTGTTCAGGGTCTCATTACTGGATTGAATTTGTAGTGATACACCTGTTTACAACCTCCCAAAAGCTGAGATTAGAGGTGCATGCCATGCCCAGTCTCAATTGCCATCTCAGTGTGGTGTGGGGGTGGGGCCAGCATAGCAGGTCCAGGGATCGAACCCCTGGCCCCTGCACCTGCTATTTGACCAGCCTGAAAAATTAAACATTAAAAGAGTATGCCACATACTTAAATGCTTTATATTTACTACTTTCTATACCTCTATTAGGTAGTGTCATCGTTTTCCAGAGGAAACCAAGATATATAGAGGTTAAGAGAACTCGCAGGGACATATAATTAATTAGAGGAAGAGCTGAGACTCAAAACTGAGGAAATCTGATTGCCACACTGGCAATCCTAAACATCTAAAGAATGAATTGCATGAAGGAGGAGGAGGAAAAGGACAAGGAGGAGAAGGAAAACAAGAAGGAGGGGAAGGGGCAGGAGAGTCAAGGGAGGGAAAGAACTGTAAGTAGAAGCACCAAATTATAGAACTTTTAAAATGCAAGGCTTAGTGATTTTATAACTATTTGGCAGACAAGGGAATTTGGAGATTTTCTTGTGTGCTGGGCGACAACAGATCTGTGCTTTGAGGATTTTATGCCAGGTCTAGCACCTTGGCTGATTTCAAGGGAAGTTTGAGCTTGTTCCAGGTAACTAAGTGAGAAGTAACGCGAATGTAGACTTTTTAATGCTTGAGAGCACCCACTGCCTGCGAGGTGGGCAGAGGAGGAGGAAGCCTAGAACCTGGGCAGGGAAGTTCTGTGAGTCCATGGCAAGTGTGGGACTACCAAAAAGGATGTGGTTGAGGAATAGGTCGCCGCAGAGATCAGAGAGGATTAGAACAAAATAAAGGTGAAGTAGTTTAGCGATATGAAGTCACTCCTTTATTGTCTTGTTCATTTACTCATCAAATAAGTAAGGACAGTGGTATCTTGCATACAGACTTCATTTGTTTTGTGATTTGGGGACGATGTCTGCATTGATGTTCTTTGTGGGCAAACGTCTGTGGTCATGTCAGTCACCTGATGTGGATGGAAGCCACATTTTAAACCAAATTGTTTGCCGACAGAAGCATTAGTGAACTGAGGTTTTACTGTACTCATGCTGAGACACAAATTGTGTGGAGGGAACCCACAAAAAATGCTGCCTTGTTCTGTCAGTCCCATTACTTAATGGCAAGATCATCTTTGAAAAGTTTTAAAAATTTTTACAATCTTGGCTGCCTGTTCTGTGTTACATAGTACAGAAAACCTCACTGTGTCTGAGTCCTCTCCGCTCTTACAGTCTTTCTAGCTCTACAGTCTGTAATTCATAGATCCAAATTGTAAACAGCAATAATTGGAAATATTATAACTATTTGGCCAGTTTGGCATTTTTAGGCGACTCAGCACAAGATGCAGAATCAAGTAAATGTCCTGTAGGTACACTGTGAAGAGAGAAGTCCCATGTGTTTCGTCTCAAAAATACCAGTGGTGCATAGTGATATGGTGGCAGAGGGAGAGATGAAACCGAAATTATTATAGGAAGGACAGTGTGCAGGGAACTTCCAGTGACACCAAAAAAGTCCCTAGAATTTTCTTAGGAAAATTTCTCTGAAAGTAATTTATTTTCAGAAACTGGCTGTTTTCTTCACAAAAAATTCTTTTAAATGGAAAATTTAAAAGGTCAAGCTTTAAAGACTTAAAATATACAGCATGGAACTTAGAATAAACACCCCCCCCAAAAAAAAAAAAAAGAAAAGAAAAAGAAAAACCTGTATTTTCTGTGAAACCCCAGTCCTCTCTGTGGGCTCCATTTCTCTTTCCTAACCTTCTCCAGCAGCATTTCTCAAATGTACAGATCAACCTGGGAATCTTGTTCAAATGCAGGTCTTGATGCAGTAGGGCAGAGAGTGGTTCTGGGGTGCTTTGTATCTGTCACCTTTCCAGATGCTAGTGCTGTTGGCCCATGGACTACACTTGGAGGACAAGGATCTAAAATATTCTGCTTTATTTCTTACAACAGATAATTATTTTAAATTAGTATACAGTGGTACCAGAGTTCATGAATTTGGAGTGAGCTGATCGCAAATCAAATTGAACATGAACAGAATCATATTTTTGTCCTGAGGTCAACATTGACTCTAACCATTGAATATGATTCAATTCTGATCCAATTCCGTTTGTGAGCAGAATCGTGGGAAGCACTGAGTTCATGAACTGAGGTTGTGTTCTAATTTGGCTCTTTCAACAGACTGTGAACCCTATTCTTCATATTTTAGAGTGCATTTTAATTACATACGTGTATAACCCATTATTGATATTCATAGATTGAGAGTCTTAATTTGGTAAGCTGTATTATTTAGTGCTATCAATAATTTGAATAGATATAGACAGGGCTTTTTAAATTTTAACTGAGAGATTGAAAAATAATTGTATTTCAGAAATAATCACCAAAATATAAAATAAGGTTTCATATAAAGTGAAACATATATTTGCTTTGTGACCCATGAAAACGTATTTTCATCTAAAGAATTGTACTTGAATGTTTAGTGCAGTTTTATTTACTCTAACCAAAAACTGGGAAGAAGTCAAATGCCTGCTTTCTAGTGAATTGTACAGTGTAACTGCAAAAATTACAGTGTATCTGCAAAATGGAATGCCACTTCCTAGTAAAAAAATGAACTTCTTGTGTAAACTACAATATGAACTTTTCCAAAAGCATTATACCTACTGAAAGAAGTTGCAGAGAAGATACATACTGTGTGATTATACTTATATAAATTTTTAGCAGAAGCAAACTGTATGATAGTTTGCTTCTATCATACAATTTGCTAGGGTGCAGGGAGTAGCTACAGGGAGCTTATTATAAAGCAGTAAAGGAACTCTTTTGGGTTAAAGGAAATGTTTCATATTACGATTTTGGTGATTTTCACATGATTGTATACACTCTCCAAAATTTATCAAATTATACTCTTGAAGGAAGTGAATTTTACTGCATAAACAATTTATCTCAATGAAGTGAATTTTAAAACTA